TGGGCTCTAGCTTCATGTTTGGGGTCTTGAAGGTAAGCAGAAAATGTGCAGCCTTGGGGTGGGCGTAGGGTCACAATGGCACCTACATGTACTCTACGCTCATTGGAGAAGAAAGCATTCATTCTGAGCTGTCTGAAGCCTAGCTAAGGACCCAGAATGCAAATAAAGCCCCCAGAGATGCAACTGGAGGAGCACAGGTGGACATGATTAAATGCAGGGTGTGGTAGTTACATTAAGCACTGGAAAGCAAGAGGTTGACGTTCCAAGATTGCAAGTTTGAGGAGCTGAAGTTTGCATAGGCTTAGCTCAGGCCAGGTATAGGAGATATGGTAAAAGTTTAAGAGCTTCATGGGGAAAGCTGTCTTGCTGAAGTTGCTTTACCTTAATTGAGCTTGTTTCTAAATCCTTTAGGTCATAAGAGTGCCTTGGTAGGGGGTAAAACCCACAAAAGACAAATGCACTGAGAAAACCCCTCAAAGCCTGAATTGGGGAAGTAAAAGTCTATGAGCCTTTCAGTATTTCTTGGTATGTGCTATATTAAAATATTGCATCTACTTCTTTGTTCTATGCTTCCCATTACTCCATGCTTTTTATTCCAGGAAAGAGGTTCCTGAAAATGTCCTATGAAAAGTTTCTTAACATCATACAAATCCTCTCCACCCCCTCTGTCCCTCATCCTCACTTCCAAGACCTTAAAATGGATTCATCTGATACCAGGAGGCTCTGGGGACCAAAAATGGGCTCAGTTATTTGATTTCCATTCCGGATTCAAGGTTGAGTGGTAGATAGAATCCAGCCCAGCCTGAGTGCCAGAAGGTCTGGATTCCTCCAGTCTACACAATACCTACAAAGATGGGGCACTGAAACCTCATTTGTACTACGGGTTCTAGGATTAACTAGTGTGTGGGTTTGTGCAACTCACTAAACTTCTTCCAGGTCTTTTCCACTTGTAAAATTAAGGCTTTGAACAAGGGAATACCCAAATTTCCTCGCAGTGTAAAAGTACCATAGTTACCAGAGACCTGCTTAGGGCTCATTTCCCTCATATTTAAAGTACTGAGACGCTTGTCCATTTCACCAGGAGATGGTGAAAGCTCAGTCAAACTTAAAAAACAAATGTCAGCTACCATTCGAATTCTTCTTCAGCTCTCTCCAAAACATGACTCTTTTATTATTTGTTCTGAAGAGCAGATTTGCTTTATTGGAATTCTTAAAATTCAGGCCTCAGTTTGACAAAAGGAGGCAGGATGTCAGTTGAGGGAGACAGGTTGTTGTAAATGACAGTGACATCTGACAGTTCTTTGGAAGGAAGTGGGTTAGGCCTGCCCTTAGTCTTCAGAAACATGGCCTCTTCTCAGTTCCATTCAAGGGCATAAACAATGCCTACTAAGCATCAGAGCTCTTCAAAATGGGGCTTTGCCTGGAGGATGAAAAGGCTTTAGAGAATACCAAGGGCAATACTAGTAATTCTAGGTGCTTTTGCCTTTCATCTGTGCATTTCCAAGTAATTTACCCACGTTAGCTCATTAGCACTCCAAACCTTAACATCAGCCTCTGTGCTTTCCTTTGGGATGGAAGAAGGTGACAGGATTTAAGTTTTGCCTCCAAGGAAAGCCCCTGCATTGAGAGTGACAGTTGCTCTGTCCACAACTCATGGAATCCCCTTCTGCCACCAGTGGCAAACTCTCTTCTCCTGTCTAGTCTCCCATTCCCAGCATTCCCAGCATTCCCACGGTGCTACCTCAGCACCCTGCCCAACATCCCAGTGTCAGAACTGGAATGGCTTCTTCAGGCCTCCTGCAGTGGACAACTTCTTCTTTCATAATTCAGACAACTGGAACACTCAACTGACCCAGGAAAAAGAAGTGAACTGCCCAAAGCAACACAATTAGACAAACTCAGTAACTTCAGAGGCACAAAAAAAAAAAAAGAAAAGAAAAAAAAGAAACTATCTCCTATCCTTGCTCCCACACACCCTAAGAAGCCAAACAGATGTTCTATCCTTCTATGCCTCTTTATAGTGCTTAAACCTGAGGCATACAGAGAAGGTGAGGGATATAATGTCTATCTGGTCACATGGCACAGAGTTTCTGTTGCCACTACTCACTCTGGGTAACTGTGGTGGTCTTTCCTCTCCAAAACTTCTGGAATGGTGCAGTGCCATAAATGGACAGACTGGAGTAAGGGGAAGAACTCTTATCCAACAGCTAAATTAACATTAAGCCCACAAGAAACTTTAATAAACAGAGGGCCAGTTAGTGAAAAATTATAATGTGAAACAAAATTGTACATTGTTACCTAGAAGCCTGGGTAGCACTAGGCTTCAGGAATTACCCATCCTAGATTAGACTAATACCTTTTGTGGCAAACATATAGGGGTCAACTCTGTGCTTTCCACAGAATAGGCACACAATAAATATTTGTGGATTGATTTGGTAGGCAAAAATTACTGGCACCTAGATGCTTTTCCATGTCAGTTTAAAAATTTTGTTCTGTTTTACTATTTAGCTACAAAGGCACAGGGTTCAATATAGCTGGAAGGAATGTTGGTGACAGTGGCTGTCATCTATATCTTCCAGGCTGGTTTCTAAGTAAAACTAATTCTGTGACATCTTAAGAAATAAAGATTCTATGTTAAAATAAACTGGGAAAGGTTATTAAACTTCTTACTCTAGTTCTCCAAGATTCTAAAAGTGTGTATTTTATTAAAGACACTAAGAGTTGAGGATAAAGAAACAGTTTTAACTTTGTTGAAACAAGTTCTTTCCAAGAACATTTGAGCTTTTTCCCTTCTATATTGTATCTATTAAAGTTCTGCAAAATTCATGTTCTTTGGAAAATATCTTGGGAATACTGATTCAGCTCAATTTCTGAATTTTACTAGTGATGAAACAGAGATCCCTGAGAGGAGCTGAAGTTCTTACAGGAAGTTTGTGAGGGAACTGGGGCCAGAACCCCACTTCCTGTCTTGCCCAAACTGATCAACCATACCCAAGAAATGATGGAAAGAAGAATACAAACATTTTACTCTCTAATGGGTTGATTTTGGGGGAAGTTTGCTAAAACAGAGAGTTTTAAAAAATACTTTAAAAATGATAACCATATCCAATTTTTACAGATCTTAGGTTATCTGCCTAACAGAGCCTAGTTATTTCATTGGTGCTTAATAAAATAAATGTACGAAATTGGTAAGTAAACAAAATAACCTAACAGGAATAAGGGGAGGTTGGTAGCAGGAAGAAAGAAGGAAGGGGTCAAAAACTAAATCAAGTGAGTAAAGGAAAAGTGTGGAGGAAGAAAAGGATGAGTTAAAAAGAAAGGTGGCGGAGGGCAGCAATCAGTGGAGAGAGAAGTCAGGAGAAGGGAAAGGAAACAACTGCAGATGATGGAAAACACAACAAAACTGAGTGGCTGGGAAGCTCTGATTTTAAAAACTGAACATGGCCCATGAGGCTAATTCAGATGCTCCCCAACAGATGGGGGTGCTCACCAAATGCTAACAACCTTTGTGAACTCACTTCAAGGTATATTTATTGCATGGGCACAAGGCATCTCCTTAAGTACTACAACAATAGCTGATGAGTGAGACACAACACACTGTCTTCAAGAAGGATACAGCCTTGTTAAACAGAATAGATAGGACAGCACAGGGACTTAGATAAAGTAATGCCAGGTAGAATGTGACCAGTGCCTCCTCCAGAGGTCCAACAGGTCAATACTCTGAGGAACCGGGACCAGGAAAACAGATCATGCCAAGACATGAGGCACAAAAGAGACGCTGAGGGAGTGCCATGAAGCATGGATAAGATTGCACCAGGCAGAGCCAGGAGCAAGAGGAGAGGCAAGTCAAGGTGATAAAGACCTGAGAGGAGACAGGGAAGCATATGGAGTAGTGAATTATCGAAGCGGTGGAGTTACAGTAAGGGGATTGTGTATGGACTGGGACGATGTGAAGGGACATGGCCAAGAAGCTTTGAAATCATGCCACAGGGACTTGAATGTCCGTTTGAGGTGCTGACACTCTTGGGAGGCAGTGGGAAGCTAGTGAAAGTGGTGTGTGTGCGTGATGTCTGTGTAGAGAGACACATTAGCATTAGAAATGATTCCCGGGCAGGTAGGACTGAGCAGAAAGGAGTAAGTTAGAAGTGGGATGGTGCGGGAGGAAGCAGTTCAGTTCTGGACAGCCCAAGAGACTGCTGAGGTTTTGCCCTTTAGACAGCAGGAAAATCCGGCCAGGGACAGTGGCTAAATCCTCTCCTGAGAGCACCCGAGACTGCATTAAGTTCAGGCCCTTGCCTCAGGAGATAGTGACCTAGAAAGTGTGAGGAAGAGATCCGCCAAAGAGAACGCAGCCAGGAAGAAAAGTCAGAGAACAGCCCACAGGAAGCTGTTACAAAGCAGAAATTACAGCCTTGGTTTTGAACTCCAGCATTGGAATCCGGAATGTGTGCATTTGAACCCCAGTGGACTGGATAGTTGGCCAAGGGACTTCAGGCTTTCTGCATCTCTTCACGAGACGGGAACGATTTCCATCTCAAAGGGTTGTGGGCCTTCGGTGAAACTAACTTGGCACGGCGTCTGCACACAGTAGGCGCCGTGGGAGACTGGGGAGGTGGGGATATTCCTCAGGGGAGCCCAGAAACGGAGGCAGGAAGCCTCAGGGAGCCCTAAGCGTCTGCTTCTGCCCAGTCGCCTTAACGACACACGAAGGGAATAGGCGAGGTGGGTCAAAGTAGCTTCATCCTGACCCCCAACATCGCACGGTTGCTTTGCCCACGTTTACACTCAGCTTGACCCGCAGGCATCCCTCCTCAGACCCGGGTTCCCAGCTCGGCTTCTGCTCCACTTTCCGCACAGTAGGGGGATGGGGAGGTAGGCGCGCAAGCGCACTCCCCTCCCCTCCCCCACTTTCCACGTTTCACTTCCCTCCCTTATTCCGCCTCAGCCGCAGCTCCGCCGTCACGATTGGTCACCCGGCCCCTTCACCTCGGCCAATCAACGCCGCCCCTTCGCCCCCGTGTTACTGGGTAGAACAAAACAAAAACAGTGAGCGGGGTTAGAGACGCTCCGAGGCGGCGGCCGAGGCTGAGGAGCGGTGCCGGGGCGGGAAGACCGGGGACCTGGGCGAGCGGCGGCGGCGGTGGCCAGAGGGGTCAGTAGCGGTGGGCGCGACTCGCGCGCTAGGGGAGACTGCGCCCTCTCCCCAGTCCCCACTCTTCTCTGAGGCCGCTGCACTTTGGGCGGGGGAGGGGGCGTGGAGGCCGCGGCCCGCTGGAGCCCGCTCGGCACGGCTCGGCTCGCCTCGGCTCGCCTCTGCTCGGGGGTCCGCCGCCTTTCTGCGTCCCGCAGGCCCAGCCGTGCCGCCAGCACCCTGCGCCGCGGGGCTCGGGTCCCCCATCGTGGGCCAGGTCGGGGTCCCCTGACCTCCCCACTTAGCGGGCGCCGAGGGGCTCCTCCTCGGGCAGCCCCTCAGTCGCGGAGTGCTCTGCCAGACCGGGTTCCGGGGGAAGGTCCGCTTCCTCCCCGCCCCGGGGTCCCTGGGCGCCCCGGGGATCCCCAGTCCCACCGCGGCGGGCCGACTGCGCCAGCCTCGCCGCTCCCGTGCTCCGGCGGAGGGTTCGGCAAATTGAAGTAAAATACAGCGTAGAGAAAACAAAGACAGGAAGGGGCTCCCCTCTGGGTGCGTCGCGCGTCCCTTGGGGACTGAGGTGCGCGCGGGCTTGGCCGGAGTCAGGACTGCGCCGACGTCCGCGGAGCCCGTCTCCCCTCGCCCTGGCTGGGACCGGCCGCCGCCGCCGCTTCTGTGACTTAAGTGCAGCTGGGTGTGCGTGGGGTCGAGGTTACCAACCGTTTTTAATTTGGGTATTTACTGCGAGATTTGACAGGGTGGCATTGTTGTTAATTTTGCACTTTTTGGAAAGCCAGCCTATGCTTTTAAGAAGACAGACCTTGCAGATACCTTCTCGATTTTCCTATTGATATTTATGCCCTTAACCTTTCATTATAGATTCGTTAAATTCTCAGCGTTTTGAATTACAATTTGATTGATTTTCCTGTAGCAGTAATGTGAAGGGAAAAATAATTGTTAGGACTGCAAGATGCTGCTAGTATAATTTTCTACTTTTGCATTATTGTGCTAGAGGGCTTTGAGCTGATTTTAAGTTGCTAATTAGTGTGACTAGCCTAGGAATGAATATAAGTAATTTTGTAGTTAGTGTGGTCAAAATTCAAGTTTCAAAAATGTCAAGAATAATTTATAAAATATATTTCTGGAAAAAACAGCAGTGTTTAACTTCAACCTTAATTTTTCGAACTTATATATGTAGTTATTTTCTCATTGAAAATTAATTTTTATAGATTAGTATGAAGAAACTAGGGTAAGATTTTTAGGTTTGGGTTAAGAATCTTAAGGGTTGTTAAATAAATTGAGAAAAAGCCCATTTTGAAGAGAGTGAAGACATGGAACATTAAAATGGCTTTGTTGCTACCAAGTGTGACTAAGTTTTTGTTTCTTCATCAGGTTATCATTGTATAAAGACCCGGGACTTTTCTTTTGTTGTGCTTATTTAAAAAAACAAATATAGTAAGTTGTCATGATAGTTATTACCTGATAATCTTCTTTGCCCAACTGAATGTATTCTGTATAATAGTTTAAAATTACTATTTTTAGTGTTTGGAAAGCAGTATTTAAAAATTTTGACATAGCAATAAAAGTCTGTTTTAATAAGCTTTCTGTTAACCTTAAACAAGAATTTTGCTGTAGGATATTATAAAAATCTTGTACTGAGTTTACAAGGTCTGGATCCTCGGGTTCTTCCACTAAGTAGCTGTCTCAACTTGGACAAATCACCTACCCTCTCTGATCTGTTTAATTGTAAGCAAACTGGTATATCTACCTCAAGATTATCCTGTGAGGTATATGAAATAATGTGTATAAAATTCAGTTTGAACTTTAAAGGGCTTTATAAATATCAGTTATAATAATTTCTTTTATTGAGTTCTGGAGAAAATATTCTCTCAAATATATTTGCATCAAGAATGAAAAAAGACTTAAATGTAACTGTAGTTTAAAAAACTCAAACATGGCATCATATGACACATAATCCCTTTCCTGAAACATGTAGTTCATGCCCTGAAATAAAACAATATGTCATTTTCAGCTATTTGAGGATACTAAATGTTTGGATATACAGACTATGTTCATATATGTGTGATTATTTACATATTTGAAGATTCATTTTTCTTAGATCGCTTTGTTTGGAATTATGTTGAAAAATTATAGACTCACATGTCAGTTTATCCTGTATAGAATTAGAGAATGATCTTACCACTAAGTTTCAGAAGCAGTATGATAGCATTTTAATGAAGTCTAAGAATTATGCTGTAACTTTACCATAAGGTTTTGGTTTTGTTACACAAATTGATCCTTTTTTTTTTTTTTTTTGAGAAAAGGATATTATAGTATATATTGAGGAATCTAAAGGTCAGTGTCACCTTTGGGTCCCAAGAAGCGCTGTGTGTGTGTGTGTGTATAAAATTTTACCCTAAAATATTATCTAACTATAGCTTATATTATATAAAAAATAATTTTCTATAGTTTATTAGGCATTTTCACTAATTTGTATATTTTGTGTCAACAGATGAGGATGCTGCTAGTGAAATGATTGTAACTGCAAGGATTTAGAGCTAACCTCTATGACTTACACATAGAAAGACAAGTACTCTAGATCACTGTTTAATGCTTCTAGAGAGATCTGAAATCTTATTTGATTATATTTTCTAGTAGTATATTTCCATGAAAACTATTTTGGTAATCCTTTCAAATAACATTGGATCTGAATCACTCTTGTTAATTGTGTAAATAAATGGTACTTAATTTATCGAAATTTCCAGTAGTAGTAATGTTTAAGTCATTTTGATACTGAGGTCTATGATACTGAGATCTGTGCCATTGTACTTATACCTTTCTGAGATAGGTTAGATTTTGTTGAATAGATTTTTCGTATTATAAAAATAATAGACTCATTACAGAAAAAGCTGATTTAGGGCTGGGAATTTAGCTCAGTGGTTCTGCCGCCTGCTGCGCAAGCGCGAGGACCCAAGTTCGATCCCCAGTACCAAAAAAAAAAAGAAAGCTGATTTAAAAAAATTTCTCCTAAGGGCTGGGGATTTAGCTCAGCAGTTCCGCCGCCTGCCTTGAAAGCACAAGATCTTGAGTTCAATCCCTGGTACCAAAAAAAAATTTCTCCCGGGCCAGGGATGTAGGTCCGTGGCGCCACACCTGCCTGGCAAACACACCTGAGTTTGATACCCAGTTCTGCCAAAAAAAAAAATTCTACTAATCTCAGTCTTACAACATGAATTATAGAGACCGAGGTAATGAAATGGCAGTTACGTCTTATATATCTATATATATTTTTTAACTTGAAGTAAATGTATGTAGCAAATATATCTTCAAGTTAAAGGGCTGCTTTGGGACATACTGAAATCCTTTGGGATTTTTAAAGTTTTGGTTTTTTTTTTCTTTGACTCAGACTTGTCAAGAAAATTGCAGCCAAATGTTAATTAGGTTAAGCTACCTTTGAATGAAAACTTGTTAAAAAATGGAATTATGTATTTTTTGATGACTATAATTTCCCTTAATCAGTTTAGAAAATATTGAAACTTTTTGTGTTTTTCTTTTAAGAAACAGATTCTGACAGAAGACTTCCCTTTGGTAGTTTGTTTAATCAGTACAAGTAAAATTAAGAAACAATGGAAATAGAAAGTGAGCAGATACTGAATGTGAACCCTACAGGTAAGTAATGTCTTAAACCCTGTCTTGTGAGCAAGCTTCATGTTGTCTATACTTTATGAAAACATGGTAGTAAAGTTTTCTTTAAGTACCATCTTAATTCCTGCTGTAGGAAAGCAAGCCATGTTTACAATCAAGTTTGCAGTTCTTTTTTTTTAAGTTTGCAATTTTTATTTTCATGTGAATTTATCACGTCCTGTTTTTCTGCCTATCCTTTCATATTCCATATATTCTTACATGCCATTATTTATAATAAAGTATATACTACAGAATATAGAAAGATAACCTACTTATTGATATTTTCACAGAGGGTAGTAATTTCTATAATATAAACTATAATTGTTATCTTTGATCTCTTTCCTAGTGATTTATATTTTATATGTTACCTATGGTATTTTCCCATGATGCTTTCATACCACATTGATATAAAAAGTTACATGTTTTGTGGAATAGCTGAGCAAATGTTGAGTAACTTACGATAACCTAAAATGTATTTATTGTATAGTTTTCAAAATAATCTTCCCAAAGAGTTAATTAGGATTGTACAATACATGAATAGTAAAAACTTTTTATATTGGTATGTTTTAGATGATTCTTTGCTTACTAGTTTTATTAATATAGAAAGCTTTCTATTTCTGTTGTAAATACGTTTCATGATTAAACACTATACCTTCCTTTCTTTAATGACTTTAATTCACTATGTTTACAAATTCATAGTTTTCTTTGACCTAAACAAATACTTTGCTGTTGAAACTTGTCATTTTGTATTTATAAACCTTTGATTTAAAGTATGCTAGGAAGTTATAGTTGAAAAAAATTGCTGCAATAATGAGTGATTATTTCTATGCTGCTATGTACAATAGCTAAGTGAGAACTGTTTTTTTAGGGTTATAAATGAGTAATATGTCCCTACTTAGGTGGGGATGGTAACCTAGTTTGAGGATGTATTTCACATATAGGTAATTGCTTCTTTTTTCCACAGTCCAGTATGACTAATGACTACTATCCATCTACCTTGAAGCACTTGAATGTAGCTAGTCTGAAATGAGATGAAGATAAATAGCTCAATAATTTCTTATATTCATTGCATGTTCAAATTATTGTTATTGTATGAAATGTTAAAATTAATTTACCTACTTTGTTTTTACTTAATGTGGCTACTAGAAAATTAAAATTACACATATGGCCTGTGTTCTATTTCTGTTTCTATTAGTATAGCTGTAAGATTTATAATTTTTGTTTCAAGACCTAGTTATAATTCTGTTTTTGGTGCTTCTCCCCAGTACTTCCTTAAAATAACAACTTGTTTTTCAGGCCTAACTCAGTCTCTCTTTATAAATTCATCCTATAGCAAATAGTTCTAGTTAGAGATACTACCCCTCCAGTTTCTACCTTTACCAGTTTTGTTACTTTGAGGAAGTAAATTATTTCCTTGGACCTTCAGTTTCTTCATATATATAATTGGGATATAAATACCTTTTTATCAGTTGTTAGGGTTTAGTGAGATTGTATGTGTCAAGCATATTGTACATATTAAGTATGCAATGCATGAAAATATTTTTGATTTGTTATTCTAATTGTGCCACTCACTGGGCACCAGAATTGAAAATGCAGTTGCCTGATACTATGGTCATATAAGTTGAAGTGGTTACTACTGAGATATTAGAATTCAAAAAGAGGAAATTAGTAAACAAAATAATTTTGAGGTTATACATTCTGTACTCAGGTTTTTTATCCTTTTAATTTTTTTTTAAGTCAGATCAGTAATTATTGGGATTCCATAATCACTTTATTGTGATTTTCAAACTTAGGTGAGCATGAATAACAAAATATAAAAAAGCAATTGATATAAACATGGGTTAAAAATTTTAAGGTTAAATATATAAAATATACCTAGGGAGAATGTTTATTTCTGAAGACCTGTAAACATATACTGCATTTGAATGGCGGTTTAAAAAGTTGGAGAAAAGAACAAATATGGGAAATAGATATATTTAAATCTAATATTTTAATAATTCAAGGGACAGATTAAAAAATTTTATTATACTTCTAAATTCTTTGTCTTCTGGACCAGTTTTGTGGTTCACCTAAATGGTAGAATAATGGAAGCAATAGTGAGAGGTGGTAGATGTTTAATGTTTTTCTCAACTACATGAAAACCCTATCTAATGTGTCCATCTCTAGTCTTTTTTGTCTCCATTACCTTAAATCTTTTGCTTCTTTCTCTTTACATTGACTCCATTGTTCATCTTTGTGTCTTCAGCTGTCAACATTGCTGTATTCTAGCTTTGAATTTTCTGTAGTTGCAGTCATATGCAATGTAAAATGGTACTACTGCTACTAAGACAACAGTTACTACTACTAGTTAGTTATGAAGAAGTCTCAAACATACCCTTAAAACACCACCTTCTCACCAGTTCAGACTTGAAAGGCATTTCTTCACTCTTAGTTAACCCCAAATCTATTCTGCTTAAAATCTTTATTTTTAAGAGTATCACATTATTATTAACTCTAGTGACTACCCTTGCTTTTTTCTGGTTTATGACCAAATTACTGTAACAGTTTCTTAGCTGGTCACTCCTTTTATATTTTCTGTTTTTTTTCTAATATGTGCTATGTTCCTCTGCCAAACTAATCCCCTCACCTTCTACCTATGATGTCAAATCTAAGCTTTGGCCATTTGAATGTGCGAATGGTCATTAGTGACTATGGTGAGGGGAGCAAGATCATGAATGACCTTGCTTAAACTATAAGGTAAAGGGCTTATACTTTCTTTGGAGATAATAGGAAAATCTTTAAAAGGGTTTATAGTGGGGGCCTGTTTTAGACAATCCGTCTCTTCAGTTTGGCGATCGTTTGGTAATTTTTTGGTTTTTTTTGGTCCCGGGGATCAAATTCAGGACCTTGTGCTTGCTTACAAGGCACCGAGCTAAATCCCCAGCCCCTTTTGGAGATAGTTAGATGGCTATTTACGAGACTAACTCCACTTAATGTTTTTGGTTTTTGATTACCACAATATTTGTTCCTAATGTATACTTGTCAAGAATTGTAATGGTTTTAACACATGTATGTGTTTTATAAATGATTAAAGTTTTTAGTTACAAAATACCTTAAAACATGTTAAAGCTCATAGACATGGACTGACACATTGGAATTATAATTAGACATACTGCACACCATTTAAGTGAATTGCTCTGACTTGTGTTAATGCTAACAAACAAAACTCTGACCTAGTGGTAACTAATTCTTCAGCCTTTCTGACTTAAGTGCATTTTCAGAGCAAAGCCAAATGTCTTCATGTGACTGCCATTGACATTTTACTTAATGGTATGGTAGTGTACTAAGTGCTGATAATACAAAGAAGTAGAGTCTAGTTATGGGTCCTCCTTTGAGACATATGACGTAGTTGGAAAAGCAAGACAGCTTATAAAAGAGGTAATAAACTGACTTCTGTGTTGTGTTAAATGAACAGTATGTGAGCATTAGTGTTGCTGTGCCTAGGAAAGTTTCCATGAATACGATTTGAGGAATATCTTAAAAGTATCTTGCTAAGTGAGAATCACTTTCTAAGCAGGGGAATCATAGGGAGCTCCAAATATATTTTCTTTCAGGAGATAATGTATCATCTTATGTAGTCTACAAGATTTTCAGAGGATAGACAGTAATATGAATCGGGTTTGGGAGATGAGTTAGGACTTTGAGATGATAGCTTTGAAAGCAAGTCTTATTGGGAAGGCATAAACAGTTCAGCTTCCCAGTCACACGATTGCCTATTGACTTTTCAGGCTCTTTTTGATTAGTAATAACCCCTAATCCTAAAATGATCACTGTATTTATTATTGGATGTGTGGCTAGTCATGCGAACAACTCTGGGCCTTACTTTACTTATTTGTATAAATAGTATAATAATTAACTGTGGAACCTGTGAGTAAATAGCAAAGTATCCAGGACAACCCCTGATAAAAAATACTAGCCATTCTTCTGTAAAAACTAGTCTTTTTTCAAGATTCTTTGTCTTAATGTCTCCAGTTGCTTAACTTTCTACGCACAAAAGTCTATGTATGGTATTGATATTAACATAGATTGTGTGATCTAAATATGGGCGCAACTTGTTTTTTTCAGGAAACTTTGTTCATTAAGACTGGCTCCTTTTCCTGGGTAATGGGAAAAGTAGTCCTATTTAGCTGTCATTTATTGGATTGAACCACATGAAATTGCCAGTGTGTGTGACTATTATTAACCTATAGAAATGGTAATTTCATGTGATTCACCCTAATCACATTTAATGACTATACCTTGTATACAGCAATAGAGAATACTTAAAAAATAATTCATTTTCTTATCTTTCTCTTTAAGATCCTGATAATTTAAGTGACTCTCTCATTTCTGGTGATGAAGAAAACACTGGGACTGAGGAAATAAGGAATGAAATAAATGGAAATTGGATTTCAGCATCCTCCATTAATGAAGCTAGAATTAATGCCAAGGCAAAAAGACGACTACGGAAAAACTCATCCCGGGACTCTGGCAGAGGCGATTCAGTCAGTGATAATGGAAGTGAAGCCCTTCGAGGTGGAGTAACTGTGCCAACCAGTCCGAAGGGACGGTTGCTAGATAGGCGGTCTAGATCTGGTAAAGGAAGGGGACTACCAAAGAAAGGTTGGTATACACCGTGTGCAAAGAAACAAATGGGCAAAAAATTGTCCAGTTGTTGTTCTGTGATTTCCTTGTCCTAGGAATGAAAGAGATTTAAACATGATAAAGGTTTGTGGTTTTGTATAGGATGATTAAATTTTTAGTGTTGAAATATCTTAAAATCTAGTAGCAATTTGAAGATCATCCCACTTAAGGTTTTTTTCCTTGAGTAGAGTTAGTTTTCTTCTTGTTTTTTTTTTTCTTCTTGTGGTGCTGAAGGTTTAACCTAGGGCCTTGTACATGCTGGGCAAGTGCTCTACCGCTGAGTCACATCCCCAGCCAGAGACCTAGTTTTCTTGAACAGAACTTATACTCTTATTTCCAACAAAATAAAGTATACACTAATGTCTCTCAGTTATGAATTGTGCACATATTGCCTTTGAAAGAGGTAGCCAGAACTTTATCATATCTACTATCTAACGAGTCTAGTTATGTCCATTGTTAAGAGTAATGAATATAAATGTTGTAATATCTGGAGAAAATTTTCACATTTTCATATATGTGGTTCTGAGTTCTCTTTAGTTTTGTTCGTTTTGGATACTGGAGTGGATTGGTGTTCAGTGCTTTATTCCCAGCACCTGAAGTAGTGACTAGCATATGATCGAAATTTAAAATTTGTTGAATGAGGGATCTGTCAGCTTGTCTTTAGTGGGAGTTTTTATATAATTTAGTGATTTGACTAGCTTCCGAATGATGGAGTTTCAATTTATAGCTCAATTATGATCCTGATAATTTAAGTGACTTGCTTTTTTGGTAATGAGGAAAATGCTTGGAATAAGGAGAAAAGAATGAAACATAGGAAAATTGAATTCAGCATCTTCCATCAGTGAAGCTGGAATTGAGGAAAAAAAATGACCGTGGAAGAACAGTTTTTTATAAGGGGAAGGGAGAAAGAGCCTTAACAAAATATTCAGATAAACAAATTACAGCAACTGGTCAGAAATTGTTATTTTTTTGTAGAATAGTTTCAATAATCATTGTTTGGATCAAAATGAAACCTAGTTACAAGATTCTCATTTGCTTAGATGGCAAGGATTACAGTGTGTCTACAAAGTAAGACTTCAATAAAAAGAAAAATTGGTGACATTTTAAGAGTTCTTTAAAAATAATATATTGATCCTTTAAAAAATATTTCACTAATTTTATGTAGTAAAGAAACTTGGAAAGTTGGAATTGTTAAACTCATACTGGTTGGTTTGTATGTAAAAATAGATAGTTATTAGGGCTGTTAATGGTTAAATAGCAAGTATTGTAACATTGTTAATTGTGAAATACAATTTAATGTGTACTTTTGTATTTTGAGTATTTTACTTTAAAACATTTGATGGTGGTCACAGTGTTTGTTAGTTTTTCCCTTGAGTGTTTTGTGTCACATTTTACTGGCCTAACATGTTTCTTTTTGTTTTGGCCCAAGAAATGTGTATTCTAGAGTTCAGCTGCAGTATCATTTCTCTCAAGGTCTTCGATATGGCTATTTTTCTGATCTTTTTTGTTTGTTTTGCTTCAAAGCATCTGCCTTTTTGGTTTTTAACTCCACATGGAATTTCAATTTGGTGTTTATGGAAATAGATTATAAAAGAAAATCTAATTATTATTGAAAAAGTGATCTAAATAAAAAGGACTTTTAGGGCCAGGGATATAGCTCAGTGACGCATGCCTACCTCACAAGCTCAAGGTCCTGAGTTTGATACCCGGTACTGGAAAAAAAAAAAAAAAGACTTTCAGTTATAATTCTCAATTGGAGAAACTAACAGAAATTAAAGGTTTTTTTTTTTTTAGCTGTTGTTTAACATTTGTACATTTAGCATTATTTCAGATTTCAATTAAAATTTGTGAACTATCAACTTTCCTTGTTTACTTCTAAACTTTGTCAGGTGGTGCAGGAGGCAAAGGTGTCTGGGGTACACCTGGACAGGTTTACGATGTGGAGGAGGTGGATGTGAAAGATCCTAACTATGATGACGATCAGGTATCAGTGGTTTACTTTCTTTTGTATTTAAAATGTTTATAAACTTTTTGACTTCATGTTTGTAGTTAATGCATAAATTTGTCCAGTAATATCTCTGGATTTTTACTCTGTAGCTGTCAAGTAGCATGTATGTAGATAAGCACATATGTACACCCAAATAGATACAGCATATACATCTCTTGTGTATACTTAGTGCTTACGGATTGTTAGGTTAATTTGACATGAGGAAGCCCACCCAGTTAATTGATAGTAATATATGTGTAATTTTAAGAAAATCTCAACAAATCCATTTAGGATTATTTATCAGATTTCAGTAAATTCTGTTGTTTAGGTTTTTTTTTTTTTTTTTGGTGCCGGGGATCGAACTCAGATCCTTCCGCTTGCGCAGCAGGTGGTGAAACCACTGAGCCAAATCCCCGGCCCCATGTTGTTTAGTTTTTATAGTAATGATAATTGAGCAGAATGTGTTATTTTGGATTTATAGGATTTATAGATGTTAGGTTCCTTTTTAGTACTGCTGTTTAATATGGTAAATGATAAATTTTGTTTTGGGGATGTGCATTTCTTTTGTAGGGATAATTCTGAGAATGTACACTTTCAGTAGATTTTATAATGATTTGTTATCTGTTTATCTTTTTAATGGAAAAACTCTGAAAGTGAATAGTATAACGAACCTGCTTGTACTCATCTTCCAGTTTTACCAGTGTCAGTAACTGTTAACTCATAGTCTTATTTTATCCTGTACCTTCATTTACCAGTCCTCCCCAACCATGTTCTTCATCATTTTCAAACAAATACCATATATTGACTTTTTTTTGGTACTAGGGATTGAACTCAGGACCTTGTGGTTGCAAGGCAGTCTTGGTGCCACTGAGCTAAAGCCCTGGCCCCATATATTGACTTTTTAAAAACCGACTTTGGATAAGATAGGAAACAGTCTTGAGAGTTTTAAATGGGAAAGTATCAGGGCATGTTAGGTTATTTTTATAGTGTATTGTTTGTATATATGTCTGTACCTGCCTGTTTTAATTAATAGACATGGGAATATTTCTAAGAGAATATGAAAAAATATATATTTAAAACCAGTCGGATTCAAATGCTGGGGAATTGGCTATATATCTAGAGTCTTATCAAGCATATGTTGTTAGAAGCCATTCATAAGTTGCAAATATTTCAGAGCTTTGTGTAGCAGAGAGAAGGATGGTTTGGTATGGATATTAATCTTACTTCTTTTTGAAATTTCACTTGAAAAGTGTTTTTCCTTAGAGATTTTTAGTCACTATGATATTGATGTTTTTATAGTTTTTATTATAATGTTAATCAGGAAGGCTTTGAATCTCACTTCTGTTTTTAAATTGACACATAGTATTAGTACATATTTATGAGGTACTATTTCATCTTGTAAATAGTGAGGGTTTTTTTTTTTTTTTTTGAGATGAGGCCTCACCTTGTCACCCAGCTGGCCTTAAACTCTTTTCCCCTTCTTAGTTTTCTGAAGTGCTGGAACTACAGGTGGACCACTGTGCCTGACAAAAAGTTACGTTTTAATGAAAATATTTTATATAATAGGAAACCATCACATAGGTTTTGGGGCACTGAAAGATTAGTTTTGAGAGAGAGAAAATTAACACAAGATAATGGGGATTGAGAAGAAATCATGCATTTGATGGTTCCAGTCTGTATATTGGTTTATTGAATTCCAGATTTTATAAAAGAGCAGTGACATAGACTATAGTTGTATATAATATAAGTTAAAGCAGGTGGCATATCTTTATCTTGCCCTAAATGGAGATTACTAACCAGTTGGATTATAATTTATCTGAATATTTTGCTCTTTAATTTATAACTCTTTTTTTCTTCCCCTCTCAGGAGAATTGTGTTTATGAAACTGTAGTTTTGCCTTTGGATGAAAGGGCATTTGAGAAGACGTTGACACCAATTATACAGGAATACTTTGAGCATGGAGATACCAATGAAGTTGCGGTAGGTTTAAAGTTACAAGTATAATTTATTAGGTATAAGGGAGAAAATGTCATTAGAAGCAGAACTTACCTAAGTGATCTGTCACTGAATAAGTTTAAGCATTTTCTTTTGGATGAATAATATCTAAGAAATAGAATAAACTCATTTTGTTTAATCAAGTTTTCTTGTATATTTGTGATACAAGAAGACCTGTGGCCATTTGCTTCACTGGAAAGTGGCATAACATGCTTTATAATTTTAATGTATTTATAACATTTATTCTTATAATTCATAAAATATAATTTTAGCGATTTCAGGGCATTAATAGACTCTCTGAAGTCTCTTTGGGTGCCTCAGTTGAGATTTCCTGGGTTACTTGTATTTTTTGACATTTACTTTAGTGTTTGAGAGTAGGTTAAAATTTATCTTTGTACTCAGTCCAAAAAATAAAGAACACCAATGCAAAGATTTGAAAAAGGAATGCATACAGCAACAGAGAATAAGGATTTTTGAAGCATACTTTGGAAACATTTAATGTGTTTATTATAAAATTGTTCATAAAGTAAATCTAGAATTACAATAAATCTATTAGTTTCATTAGGATTACTGGGTTAAAATACAATTGTAACTTCTTAGAAGACTTAGATTCTTTAAATTCAGATTGGACTTTCTTCATTTTTCTATTACCCATGAGATTTGGTGTCTTTGGATTTGTAGAATTTCAATTTAAAATAAATACTTGTTTAGTAAATGCTACATGGAGGAATTTGAGATAGGTGATTCCTACCCTTTTAATGGTCAGTGAAGTATAAATAGATTATTAAATATAAGGTGAAATGTTTGGTTACAGAGGAAATTAATTTTAAAAGTCCTATGAAGGCAGAAACTATTGAAATCTAGGTGTTTGACTTTACCATTTGTATATACTATGATTAACTGAGTAGCTCTGTGAGCAAGAGGGTTGTAGAAGTATAAAATTGAGAGCAGTACAAGAGGTGGTTCTGGCCATCTGAAGGCTGGTTAGGAGCTTGTCAGGAAAGATGGCTGAAGGTGGTTTTCTAGGAAAGTGGAGTATCATGTTTAAAAGCAGTGTGAGTCAGTTGTTCAGTGCAGTTGAAGAAGATGAAATGGTGTGGGGAAGAGATCACTAACAAGACAACCTGTTTAGGTGGTTAGTGTACCATGATTTAAAGACTCTAAGAAACCTGGTGTGGTGGCATACTCCCATAATCCCAGGACGCTGGGAGGCTGAGGCAGGAGGATTGAAAGTTCATATCCCATCCAAGCAATTTAGTGAGACCCTGTTTCAAAAAAGGGGAGGCATTCTTGAGTACCTGAGTTCTATTGGCTGCCTGTATTCCACTTCCACTTGCATGGGCTATTCTTAGGTGCCCTAAGCCATTCTCTAATTTGTCTATGCTTTGAGTATGTTAGGAGTGATAATTATATTTAGTATTAGATGAGGTAACATAAAGTAGTTAAGCTGCTGCTGTATTTTCTTTTTTTATTAAATTCTTTTATTGGTACATTGTAGGTATACAACACAATTACATTTCTTATTGGGAATTGTACCTTTACATAATGCATCTTGG